CCCTCCTCAATGGACGCCTCCCGGCGGCCTTCCTGTAGGACAGGGGGTTTGGCAGGCGAACACGGGGGGAAGATGTCGTACTGGGGTCCGGCTGATGGGGGTCCAGGGTCCAAAACCAAACTGGGAATACAGGGAGGGCTTCAGGACAGGGAAGAGTTAGGGGAACAGGCAGGGCAGAACTGGAAGCTCAGGGCTAGACAGGGTGCCAGAGGGTAGCGCTGGGGGACCAGGGAGTTCGGGCGGACGTCCCGAGGGCGGAACAGAGGGACCAAGGGGTTCGGGCGGACGTCCCGAGGGCGGAGCAGGGGGACCAAGGGGTTCGGGCGGACGTCCCGAGGGCGGAGCAGGGGGACCAAGGGGTTCGGGCGGACGTCCCGAGGGCGGAGCAGGGGGACCAAGGGGTTCGGGCGGACGTCCCGAGGGCGGAGCAGGGGGACCAAGGGGTTCGGGCGGACGTCCCGAGGGCGGAGCAGGGGGACCAAGGGGTTCGGGCGGACGTCCCGAGGGCGGAGCAGGGGGACCAAGGGGTTCAGGGGGGCCAGGTTGGTCCGACGGGCAGCCTGAGGGCGGACAGGGGGAGCCAGGAAGTTCAGGGGGGCAGGTTGAATGCAGAGCAGGAGAGCCAGGGAGATCCGGCGGGCAGGCCGAGGGCGGAACAGGGGAGCCATGAGGGTCCGGTGGGACAGGAGAGCCCGAGGGCAGACCAGGGGGGCCAGGAGGGACCGGCGGGCAGCCCGAGGGCGGACCATGAGAGGCTGGCCGGCGGCCCGAGGGCGGACCAGGGAAGCCAGAGGGCGGACCCGGGGAGCCAGGAGGGTCCGGCGGGCGGCCCGAGGGCGGACCAGGGGAGCCCGGATGGTCCGGCGGGTGGCCCGAGGGCGGACCAGGGGAGCCAGAGGGCGGACCAGGGAAGCCAGGAGGGTCCGGCGGGCGGCCCGGGGGCGGACCAGGGGAGCCCGGATGGTCCGGCGGGTGGCCCGGGGGCGGACCAGGGGAGCCCGGATGGTCCGGCGGGTGGCCCGAGGGCGGACCAGGGGAGCCAGAGGGCGGACCAGGGAAGCCAGGAGGGTCCGGCGGGCGGCCCGGGGGCGGACCAGGGAAGCCAGGAGGGTCCGGCGGGCGGCCCGGGGGCGGACCAGGGAAGCCAGGAGGGTCCGGCGGGCGGCCCGGGGGCGGACCAGGGAAGCCAGAGGGCGGATCCGGGGAGCCAGGAGGGTCCGGCGGAACAGGGGAGCCCGAGGGCAGACCAGGGGAGCCAGGAGGGTCCGGCGGAACAGGGGAGCCCGAGGGCAGACCGGGGGAGCCAGGAGGGTCCGACGGGCAGCCCGAGGGTGGACAGGGGGAGCCAGGAGGGTCCGGCGGGACAGGGGAGCCCGAGGGCGGACCAGGGAAGCCAGGAGGGTCCGGCGGGACAGGGGAGCCCGAGGGCGGACCAGGGAAGCCAGGAGGGTCCGGCGGGCGGCCCGAGGGCGGACCAGGGAAGCCAGGAGGGTCCGGCGGGACAGGGGAGCCCGAGGGCAGACCAGGGGAGCCAGGAGGGTCCGGCGGGCAGCCCGAGGGCGGACCAGGGGAGCCCGGAGGGCGGCCCGAGGGCTGGGCTAGGGGGCGAGACGACCTCTCCAGAGGCCGGGGAGCCGGGCAGGGAGCCGGGCGTGGCGACCTCACCAGGGGCCGGGGAGCCGGGCGTGGCGACCGGGGAGCCGGGCGTGGCGGCCTCTCCAGAGGCCGGGTAGCAAGGCGAGACAAGCCAGAGAGTTCGGGCGGGCGGCCCGAGGGACGGGCTAGGGGGCGAGACGACCTCTCCTGAGGCCGGGGAGCCGGGCGTGGCGGCCGGGGAGCCGGGCGTGGCGGCCTCTCCAGAGGTCGGGGAGCAAGGCGGGACAGGCCAGAGAGTTCGGGCGGGCGGCCCGAGGGACGGGCTAGGGGGCGAGACGACCTCTCCTGAGGCCGGGGAGCCGGGCGTGGCGGCCGGGGAGCCGGGCGTGGCGGCCTCTCCAGAGGTCGGGGAGCAAGGCGGGACAGGCCAGAGAGTTCGGGCGGGCGGCCCGAGGGACGGGCTAGGGGGCTAGGCGGCCTCTCCAGAGGCCGGGGAGCCGGGCGTGGGGCTGGCAGCGCGACAGCAGCGGGGGGAGTCAGGGATGAGGCTGCTGGGCTGAGGGCCTCGGTGCGAGGAACAGGGGTCGGCCGGACCACCGGCGGGGCTGAAGCCGGTCCGTCCGCCAACAGAACACGAGGAGCAGGGGTCGGCCGGACCACCGGCGGGGCTGAAGCCGGTCCGTCCGCCAACAGAACACGAGGAGCAGGGGTCGGCCGGACCACCGGCGGGGCTGAAGCCGGTCCGTCCGCCAACAGAACACGAGGAGCAGGGGTCGGCCGGACCACCGGCGGGGCTGAAGCCGGTCCGTCCGCCAACAGAACACGAGGAGCAGGGGTCGGCCGGACCACCGGCGGGGCTGAAGCCGGTCCGTCCGCCAACAGAACACGAGGAGCAGGGGTCGGCCGGACCACCGGCGGGGCTGAAGCCGGTCGGTCCGCCAACAGAACACGAGGAGCAGGGTCGGCCGGACCACCGGCGGGGCTGAAGCCGGTGCGTCCGCCAACAGAACACGAGGAGCAGGGGTCGGCCGGACCACCGGCGGGGCTGAAGCCGGTCCGTCCGCCAACAGAACACGAGGAGCAGGGGTCGGCCGGACCACCGGCGGGGCTGAAGCCGGTGCGTCCGCCAACAGAACACGAGGAGCAGGGGTCGGCCGGACCACCGGCGGGGCTGAAGCCGGTGCGTCCGCCAACAGAACACGAGGAGCAGGGGTCGGCCGGATGACCGGCGGGCTGAAGCCGGTCCGTCCGCCAACAGAACACGAGGAGCAGGGGTCGGCCGGACCACCGGCGGGGCTGAAGCCGGTCGGTCCACCGACGCAGCACGAGGAACAGGAAGAGTCGGCTGGGCCACCAACGGAGCTGGTGCTGGTCGGACCACCGACGTCCTTGCTCCTCGACGGCGGGGTCCACGTCGCCCTCCAGCTGGCCTTACTGGAGGTGGAGCAGACGTGGAGCCGGGGGGGAAACTAGCCTCCACACTAGTAGGCCGCAGACTGGCTGCCCGTGCTTCTTCTGACTCCCTGGCCTTCATAGCAAAGAAGGCCAGGAGAGTCATAGTCCCAGAGTCTTTGTTGGGGGGGTCACGCGGGCAGATGGGCCGGCCAGGCAGGGGGCTGGCCACTGGAGGGCTAGCGGCCCGGGGATCAGGGCCAGGCTGGGGGCTAACTGGCTGGGGATCAAGAGAGAGTGGTAATAATTGGCGGGAGCCGCGATGGTCACGTCTCCTCTGAAGGCCACCACGGCCCCCAGAGAAGATGGCCAGGCGGGTTCCCTCGAACTGAAGGCGGGGGTCAAGCATGGTGTCGGGCGAACATGGGGAACAGGCAGGCCGGGGAATGCTCGGGACAGGCTGGTGGCTAGCAAGCTGGGGATCTGGACCAAACTGGGGGCTAACTAGCTGGGGGTCAGGACCTGGCTGGGGGCTAGCGGCGCTAGCGGGCCGAGGAACAGGCTGGGGGCTAGAGGCGCTGGCAGGCATGGGGGCAGGCTGGGGGCTGGCGGCTGAGGTCTGGCTACACAGGGAAATGCTTCCCAGCCTGCAACTAGCGGGTTGGATACGAGACCACCGAGGGCTGGCGGGGAGATGGAAAAATCTGGCCAGCCTCTCCGGGACAGCGTCTCTCAGCCAAGGCCTCTGAGAAACCTTTACCTGGCCAAAGGTCAAAAGCGCCAGCTTGTAGCCCGTGTGGGTTGAGCCCCTCCACTTCTCCTCCAACTCCAACAGCTCCTTGCATAGCTGACTAGCTTCCTCCTGATGGGCGGTTGCTGGGTCCATAGTTGGCTTGATCGTTCTGTTACGGGGTGTGGTGTGTGGACAGAGAGGACCCAAATGCAGCACTCAGAAGGAAGGAGGTTTATTGGAGGAAAAAGGGGTGAGAGGGACTGGAGGGAGAGGAGGACGTCGGGGAAGAACAGGCACGGGGAACCAAGGAGACAGGGGGCCAGAGAGCAGGGGAACACAGGGGCCGAGGAAGCGTGGAGAGGCGGGGGAACAGGGAGGACGCCGTGAGGGAAGTCCAAAGAGGAGTGGGCCAGTGGGTGAGCCCAGCCGAACGGAGGACGAGGGTGAGTGTACCTGTGAGGAAAACAGACAAGGGACAAGGTTAGGGAAGACAGCAACAAGGTACAGGGTAAACGTGAAAAAACAGGAACATGAAAGCCTGAACGTGGGGATGGCACCGGGTATGGAGCAACGACGATCAAGCAAGGATGGTGTGGAGAACCGGGGTTGAAATACAGGCTGGGATGAGGTTGATTACTGGCAGGTGTGGCAGGCTGACGAGGTGGATGATGGGTTGCAGGTGCAGGTAGTTGGCTGGGCTCAGGAGCAGAGGGAGAGAGAGCACACGGGGGAGAAAACACAGAGAGGCGGGCAGAGAACAGGAAACCAAGGGAAAAAGCAGAAAACTGATAAAAAGGAGGAAAAACCAGGACACTCACCGTCAGCCGGGCTGCCACCACAACATGAGTAGTGACAACAAAAAAAGGTTTCTAAACATCTCAAATGTTTCCTTTCAGTCAGTCTTATTTATATTATATCAACACTTTAAAAACTCATCTTAACTTTGTTCCTCCAAATATTTCAAATTTACCCTCAAAATTTCAAATTTTCTCACTGCACAGCGGCTGCAGTGTTCTACAACTGTGTGTTTTACATGTTGGTGTGCATTGTGATGTCAAAATATGACCACATCTTTTAATATGACTTTTACCTCCAAACATTGTGATATATATAACATTTAAAGTGTTATATATATCCAAATCACTTTACTTCTTTAATTACGACTTTATCTCAAATTTAACTTCAAAACATAACAACTTCTTTCTCTACTGTTCTGATTTGTTTTCACCAGAGTGTGCTACAGTGTGTAGTTGAGTGTTTCTGTGTGTAGTTGTTGTTGTCATGAGAACGGTCGTCATGTGATCAGCTGATTGTCTCAGTTTAAACTCAGCCAGACGTTTCATCAGTTTCAGCCTGAACACACAGAAACACACGGTGAGTCTTTATTCTTCTCTTTAATTTCATTTATTACATCAGATTAACATTTATTAAATCTCAATACATCTCATTACATCACTGTACAGCGCATTAAAACTTCATTGGAAACTGATTTAATTCAGTCAGTAGCTTAAAGTTTCTGTAAATATCGAACAAAAATGCATTTAAATCTTTATATTCACACATTTGTTCATTAATTAATGTTCAATCTGTAAAATGTCAGATTTCATCAAAAAACCTCCCACATCATTTGAACAGAAGAAATTCCAACAAACGGTCTGCTTCTTTTAAAGGTTTTAATCAGCTGTTTAGTTTTAAAATCCAGTCCATGTTAAAGAAGATATTTATGTAATAAACATGTTCCTTTGTTTTTAAAGTAAGGGCATCAGTTATTGATGGCATCAGTTGTGTAACATGTTTTAGGGTGTGGTGACAAAGTGTAGCTTAAAAGCAGATCTCACACTGTTTTATATTACAGCAGCATTAATGCTCTGGCCTCAGGTCTGCTACATTATAAGAGACAGTTTGAATTTAGTTTTTAAAAAGTATTTTTAAGGCTCCAACCTGAAGGTGGAGGTACTACTTTATTCTTCTTTATTACTGGATCCTTTCATTTGTCAGGACTGAACTATGAGTCAAATAAAACCGGTAAAAGAATCAGTCTTTAGTTGAGCTGGTCTGAACTGGTGGAGCTTTGAAACCAGTAATGAGGGCATGTTTCTTTAATGGATCAGAAGTGAAAAAGGAAACACTGATGTTTAAAATAAGATTTATTAAGATTTAAGGAATTTTATAAAAACAGCATGACGTTTCAAAGTGAGTCATTTTTCTAACAGAATAAATTCAGTCTTAATACAAAAGAAAAGCTTCGTGAAACATAAAACGCAGCTTTGTTTGTTTCAGCTCGCATGTTTTCTGTCTGACGTAGTCTGGTATGACCAGGAGCTAATGGTGGCTAACGTTAGCATACCAAGTAGAAACTGTTTCTGACACATCACTGACTTGTTTTCTAATTCTGCTGCTGTTCCAGATAAAATGATCAACGTTTTGTTGGTTTCACCATAAATGTAAAGCCATAATTCATCTATTCAGTAAATGTTTTGTTTTCAAAATGTTTTTACTGTTTTTTTAATAAATTTTTTTCATGAAGAATTTTAGCTGTAAACATTTTTTTTTACAAAATTTTGAAATCTTCCTCTTAACATAACATTTCGCCACTTAACACAATTGTTAGATTAAAGCACTAGTTTGCTGTCTTGTTTCAGTGGACGTCATGGAGCGTAAACTGGATCTGTCCCGTCTGACAGACGAAGAGGCCAAACACGTCTGGGAGGTGATTCAACGAGACTTTAACCTCCGAAAGAAAGAAGAGGAAAGACTCGGGTAAGCTTGTCTGTCTGTCTGACTGCCCTGTAGAGGTTTGCCTTCTGCTTGTTTATCAGGATATTTGATATACCTTATTATTTGTATCCCAGCATGCATTTCACGTGAGCCAGCGGTGATGGTGGAGGACTTGAGTCAGACTCAAAATGTTCATCCGTGAACTGTTCTGTCACTTTGTTCAGTTCTAACATGTTGAAATTGTCCTCCTGGAAATTTCACTCACATGTTTTGGGAGCTGCTAGCCAGGTGAGAGCTTCCAGTCACTGTCAATGTGATGACGGACCATCCTGAGCATAAAGCCAATGTTTAGTGTCATTAGACAGTTTAACAACAGAGTTGCTCTGTGAGGCAAATGTACAGATATCAGCACAGATACATAATCAATAAACAGATATATGTATATATATTAAACATGTTGCTATGTCAGTGTTGCTCAGTCCCACAGTGACGTAAGTGTTTGTGACTGTTTCTGTAAATCGACTGCTTCATGTGAGTTTTGCAGGAATGTAAGCGTGAAAGACGTCGTTGTTGTTTCAGTCGATCACGACTCGGTCACACGCACCAGAGTCTGCAGCAGGAAACAAAACGCTCTGTGTTCCTCACTAAACACTGCAAGTCCCATCAGCCCCGGGGGCAATACACACCCAGAGAAACAGAGGAAACAGCTGGAGAGACAGCTTACAATTAAACTAAAGGAGTGAAATCAAGACGAGTTTTCCTGTGAGAGAGGTCTGAATCAGTGTGAGCTAACCGATAACTGATGATCAATAACGACATGACTCAGATGCAAAAAGCAGCTTCTGTCTTCAGTCTGAATGAATGAACTGTTCCTCTGTGACTGCTGGAAGCTGCTGATAATCTGATTATAACTGTGAAAATCACATTTCTCCTGAAGAAACACATGAACTCACAGACTGTAGTTTGATGGCTTATTATTTCCAGATAAACACATTTTATAAAGATGAATAGTAAACTAAGCTCTTTGATACAGAAACATTTCAATAACAGACACGTTTGACACAGACACAACTTCCAACTGCATACTAAAAAATCTAAACATAAATACAAATATCATAATGATCCTGAACAGAAAAGTCACAGTGGATGGAGTGAAAGAAAAAACTGACTCCAGAGTCATAGACTGATTTTCATAAATGTAAATATATAAATATTCCACAAGAAGGTTCAACAACAAAATTAATGGAAACAGAACTAACTGGTTTCATAGATACAAATATTTCCCAAATGTGTAGATTTACAGCTTTTCTCTGTTTTACAGTCACTTTGTCACTTTGATACTGATAGCAGGTAGCATTTAGGGGCAAAGAGCTGGGTACTCTCAACTCAGGCAGCCTGGGGGCAGTACAGATGGGCAGAGCTCCTCAGGAGATCAGGCAGGACACCGGCAACATGACTGAAGACCAAGACCAGAGACTGATGGCTGGAGTATGGGACCAGAGGACGGCAACAGAGCAACAGGACAGGACACCGGCAACTGAGAGTTGCTGCAGCTCAGCAGGAGTTGGCCAGACCAACAATAGAGAGTCAGACAGGACTTGTGGTACTTTAGTGGAACAGAGCAACTGATTTTTTGGTGCGCCTCTCTGTGGAGGTTCCCAGCAAAGTTTCTGTGGAGCTGGGCTGCAGGACCTCGGCAGCACTAGGTAATGTGGAGGACAGAGAGACACAACAACGGTGAGAGACACTTTTCCCTTAAGGAAACTGGAGCCACCTTCCTCGCCAAAGGTAGCTCCAGTCAAGCTGGAGGTGGCTTGAAATGCGATTGCAATTGGGTTTCTACAGATGCGTCTCAGTCTGGCCGCTCACATCATATTTCAAAGTGTCTTTTGAGTCACTTTCAACAACGACGTCAAATCCAAAGTGCATCAGAGTGGCTGATTAAAGTCCCGCTGCTGCTAGCAGAGCGGTATGGAGAACAATCCAGAGAAATAGGCTACTTCTAATAAGTCGTTATCACAGCAACCTATGCAGAGAGGTTGGAGCTGTCTGATCTGATCACTAGCAACAGTGCAGACAGTCAGTCTCTAAGATCTGATCTGAGAAACGAATCTTGTTAATTGAACTCATTCAATGCTTCTTGAGAGCTTCTTTTTTGCCATTTCATTTTAAATTCAGGTCCATCCAGGATCCTAAAATATCTTTAATGTGTTGATTAAACTTTCAGCATCACGAGTGAACCAGAAGTGAAGTCAGTGAGTTTGAAGCTTCTATCTTTTATTCTTAGAAGAAGCATCTTTAATGAGGAATGTGATTTGTTCTTCCAGCAGTATGATGTCAGCATGATGTGAATGTATGTGACAGTGAATTACAGCAGATCCACTGAGTTTAGTTCTGTATGTGTGGATGTTTTCAAACTGTGGTTCAGTTCCCTAGAGGTGGACGTTCAGGTTTAATGATTCAGTCACATGAAACACTAAACAAACTGTTCTTTCACAAGATGTTCAGCTGCTGCACCATCTGTTCCCTGAGACTCTGTCAGCTGTTCATTTATAACTTTAAATAATTCATAGTTTTATTGGAAAGTTTGACAGTGGAGAGGCTGACTGGAAACAGGGGTTATAACATGATGATGTTCAGTTCTGCAGCCTCTGTCTCTGGTTTTTAAGCTGGTTACTAGACGTTTGTTCTGGATGGACATCAGAGATCATGAAATCCTCAGGAAGTGGAAGTCACACTGAATAAATCAACATGTGTAATGACTGTCTGTTCAGATCAGACTGAGTTATGACTCTGAGAAAGAATATCACAAATGGTAGCCTAAGAAAACAGATCAGATAGATTCAGATAGGGCCTCAGTTTTAAGAGAATATATCAACTTTATTGACACAAAGAGGGCCACAAAATGTATTAACAGCAAACAATATTTCCTCCGCAGATACAGAAGTGGTTGGAAGATTATGGTCACAGCCTCGTTTCCTCTCTTGTTGTCTCTTGCAGTGATCTGAAGACTAAAATCGAGAAGGAGGATACAAAGCGAGAGCTGCTGGGTACTCAGAGTAAACTGTCTGACTCGCACTGCATCCGCTGCCTGCAGCCCTTTAAGTTCCTGGTCAACAGTAAACGTCAGTGTCTGGACTGCCGCATGTACACCTGCAAGGCCTGCAGCCGCTACAACAAGAAGGAGCACGGCTGGGTGTGTGACAACTGCCGCATGACCAGGTGAGACACCCACAGGTAGGTGTGGGTACTGACAGCACAGGTAAGGAACACATCTGTCTCAGATACACGATACACCAACACATCTAAGAATTCAGACACCAAAAAGAGATCTGTGGTGAGATTGTTGTCATTTTGTTTCCGATAATGATAAACTTTACCCAAAATGGAGCCTGCTCTCACTAGTTATTGTATATTAATGTGTTAGCACTAGCTAGCTACCCAGACAACTGTTAATTAACACTGTGCGCTAAAGTATTAGCAATTAAGAGCAAGGAGCCTACTAGTTATTTAAATTAATGTTTCACTATTGTGCTGCAATTTTAGCGTGGAACGTCAGCTAACAGTGTTTGCTAATATGTTAGCAAGAAGCCAGATATAAACGCCTACATGACCTAAACACATTGCTGTCATTTAATGTAATGTAGTTTGATATGCTAAATTGTTAGCCAGTAGCTTCGTAAAATATAATCTACTTGTTGCTTCAGTGCTCCACCTGTTCAGGTAAAGAGTGGAGTGTTTTTTGTGTTTATACCTGCTGCAGGGTGTTGAAGATCGGCACTGTGGGTTGGTACCATGACAACGTTAGAAACCGCTTCAAACGCTTCGGCAGCGCCAAGGTGATGAGGTCACTGTACAAGAGGCTGAACGGAGACGGTGAGTCTGCCTTGACATCACTGTTACCTGCAGGACCTGTGTCTGTGGAGGGGCCACATGTGGTCATCAAACCGTCAGCTGAGAAAAACGTGATGTATTTACTGAGTCACACTGAGGCTGTTGAACACCAGCAGACTGTGTTATTGTATTTTAATTAACTTGATTTGTTGTTTGCGAAGGCTCAAATAGATGTCACAGAACATGTTAGTTTTTATAATTCAGTAGGGAACAAATAATGATCATTAAATTAAGATTTATAAACAGAGAAAGATCTATCTGATAATCTGATCCAATCAGATGACCATTCTTCTGTCATCATGTTTATCTTGTAAACATGAACTATTTCTCTGTAGAAAAATATTATTGCTAGTATTACTGCTTATTATAATATGTAGGTCCCGGATACACTCAAGCTGAAACAGTCTGTGTGTTTATCTGAACATATGAACAAATTCAGATGCCAAATGCTACATGCTAATAACACTTCTTGTGTTTCTTCTTTAGGTGGTCGTGATGATGACACTCAGAGTATGCCGGATGTCCGCAGCCGTGAGTCGATGCTGAAACACTTTTTCATCAACAAATAAAGAGTTTGATTCAAGCTACGCACAGAAATTTTCAGTTAACAAAAGACTGGGAGGAAATTAGACTTTAAAGCTTCTTTAAAGCTTAAATCTGTTATCTGCTTTGACTTTGATGTTCAATTATTAAAAATTCTAAGCTTGAACTATATATTGTTTCTATAGATTATAAACACATTTGATATTCATGTTTGCAGCAGTCTTCTGTCTCCAGAAAATCTCAACATTTTGAATTTTTTAAATTCAATGACATGAAGACATGTTAAAAGTCAGTATTTCTACCTGTAGATGTGCATAATGGTAACGAGGATGACCATGGAGAGGCCGATGCTCAGCGCTACAAAGTGGTAACATAAAAATAATAAACTAAATCTTAGGAAAATGAATCAGATGAATCCTGCAGCTTTTAAACTCTTCTTCTTCTTTTCTTTAAGATGAGGAAAAGTAAACGTCTGCTGTCAGTTCATCCTATGGACTTTGACGCTGAGGAATATTTCCCTCATTCGAGACGACCGTCGGTACAGGTACGACAACACCTGAGACGGTTTCGCTGCAGCTCTCTTAATACTGGATAAAATAAAATAAATTGTCCCCATTAGTCACAAAGACACAAAAACATGGGGAAATAGGGCTGAAAAATACCAAAGCCACCATAATGTATCTATGACTAACTGTTTGTATTTAACATGTTTTATGCAGCAGATGCAGGAGGATCGAAGCTACAGGAATGAGGACTGCGACATGTCCAACCACCGAGTAAACCGCAGAAGGAGTCTGGACCGATATGCCATGAGATCTGGTACATACACTCACCTAAAGGATTATTAGGAACACCTGTTCAATTTCTCATTAATGCAATTATCTAATCAACCAATCACATGGCAGTTGCTTCAATGCATTTAGGGGTGTGGTCCTGGTCAAGACAATCTCCTGAACTCCAAACTGAATGTCAGAATGGGAAAGAAAGGAGATTTAAGCAATTTTGAGCGTGGCATTGGTTGGTGCCAGACGGGCCGGTCTGAGTATTTCACGATCTGCTCAGTTACTGGGATTTTCACGCACAACCATTTCTAGGGTTTACAAAGAACGGTGTGAAAAGGGAAAAACATCCAGTATGCTGCAGTCCTGTGGACTAAAATGCCTTGTTGATGCTAGAGGTCAGAGGAGAATGGGCCGACCGATTCAAGCTGATAGAAGAGCAACTTTGACTGAAATACTCTCGTTACAACCGAGGTATGCAGCAAAGCATTTGTGAAGCCACAACACGCACAACATTGAGGCGGATGGGCTACAACAGCAGAAGACCCCACCGGGTACCACTCATCTCCACTACAAATAGGAAAAAGAGGCTACAATTTGCAAGAGCTCACCAAAATTGGACAGTTGAAGACTGGAAAAATGTTGCCTGGTCTGATGAGTCTCGGTTTCTGTTGAGACATTCAGATGGTAGAGTCAGAATTTGGCGTAAACAGAATGAGAACATGGATCCATCATGCCTTGTTACCACTGTGCAGGCTGGTGGTGGTGGTGTAATGGTGTGGGGGATGTTTTCTGTTACACTTTGGGCCCCTTAGTGCCAATTGGGCATCGTTTAAATGCCACGGCCTACCTGAGCATTGTTTCTGACCATGTCCATCCCTTTATGGCCACCATGTACCCATCCTCTGATGGCTACTTCCAGCAGGATAATGCACCATGTCACAAAGCTCCAATCATTTCAAACTGGTTTCTTGAAGATGACAAGGAGTTCACTGTACTAAAATGGCCCCCACAGTCACCAGATCTCAACCCAATAGAGCATCTTTGGGATGTGGTGGAACGGGAGCTTCATGCCCTGGATGTGCATCCCACAAATCTCCATCAACTGCAAGATGCTATCCTATCAATATGGGCCAACATTTCTAAAGAATGCTTTCAGCACCTTGTTGAATCAATGCCACGTAGAATTAAGGCAGTTCTGAAGGCGAAAGGGGGTCAAACACAGTATTAGTATGGTGTTCCTAATAATCCTTTAGGTGAGTGTATATACAAATACATGTAGTACAAACAGTCCCCACAGAGTACATGTGCTTCACACTATTTATCACATCAGTAAAATTATCTGCAGTCTCTTACTGGTTGCTGTGAGATAGATGAATCAAACGTGAGGTAGTTGTACGTTGCAGAGCTCCACCTAGTGGCTGTTAGAAGAACATGATATTCAAGACTTCCTTTTGAAATGGCTGCAACCTCTCAGGAAAAGAAGCCAATAGTGTGGCTGTCTTGACAGAGAGGGACAAACAGTCTGAACAGTGCGTGCTGCCTCATTACTCTGAGCATATTGTCTCTCCCACTGTCTTTTGGTCTATGGTGTCGACTCTGGCTACTAGTTTGAGTCTCACTGAAGCTCAACAGATCCCTCACTGCAAAGATTTTCTCCCTGGTGTTCCGCTCCTTGTATCAGAGGGTTACTGTAGCTTATCCCATTTCTTTCCTCTGGTGCGTAAGTCATGGTGACACCATGTTGTAATGGGTTCTTTTAGTAGAAAGGACTACTTTGAGTTTAGCTTTCAGAACCTGTACTTGAACATGCAGTCTCATATTCCATGCAGGACTCACAGTCACACTTCAGCTAACTTGTATATTTAACTGTCTCTACTTACCTCTCTGTGTGTTGTCAGATGACTATGGAGACAGCAGGATGGTCCGGACTCGCTCTCTGTCAAAGATCAGCTCTTCGGTGGCTCGACAGCAGTACGTTGACACCTCAGACGAGGACGATTACCCGAGGTACCCTCCAATGTACCAACAACCCCCCCACCGCCGCAAGAACAGCAGAACCTCCTCCCAGGAGAACCTGGGACAAGCCCGCCTGTAAGAGAAAACACCCAGTCGCAGTCACTGGTTGTGCTCCCTAACACTGATTATCTGTTTTACTTGTCACGCTCACCATAACACAGGAAGTGGAACATTTACACAACGAAAATTGGATATTTCTTTCTACTATGAAAATTCCAAGCCTGGTTAAAATCAAGGGCAACTGGACTGGATTGAAGATCCTTGAAGACTTGTCGCCTTTCTTCCAGTTCTCCAGTTCATTAGTGGATAATTACTAACTGGATGACCGAGGATCTTTACAGAAAACTACAGAAAACATTTTTTGCCATTGGGTTAACCCTAACTAATCATCACTCATTCTAATCCTCTTCTCTTGATAATCTCTTCTTTGGTTTTATTTTGCAGATGAACGAGCTGAACAAACGCATGTCTGCCATTGAGAGTCTGCTGAGCCGCCTGGAGGAGAAGATGACACCTGCTGACGAGGTGAGATGTGACACACCAGGTTCAAAATAAGCCCATCAACTTCTTCTTTAATTAAACAGTGAAATTCTGCCATCTGTTAATGACTTGGTTTTGGGTCTGGTTTTGACTACACAGTCAACCACAGGATCCTGCTATCCGCTCTCTCAGCAATGGGCATCTCGAGTAAAGCACTCCTGTGGTTCGAATCCTACCTCTCGGGGCGTTCCTACAATGTTTTGTGGCAAGGACAATTATCCTCCTCCCACTGCCTCTAAACACGGGTGCACCAAGGCTCAGTGCTTGGGCCCCTTCTCTTCTCAATTTACACCACCTCGCTGGGGCCGATCATTCGCTCGCACGGCTTCTCTTACCACTGCTACGCAGACGATACGCAACTCTACCTATCCTTCCCGCAGTACTGTCTATCAGACATATCTGCATGGATAAAGGCTTGCCACCTTCAACTAAACCTCTCTAAGACTGAACTCTTGGTCATTCCAGCCAAGCAATCTATCCACCATAACATCAAACTACAAACTGACTCCGCAACCATCAGTCCAACCAAGGTGGTGAGAAACTTGGGTGTCATGATTGATGACCAGCTGTCCTTTTCAGACCATGTTGCTGCTGTCTCTCGTTCATGCCGCTTTGCTCTATACAACATAAGGAAAATCAGGCCCTACCTCACTCAGTACGCTACCCAGCTTCTGGTACAGGCCATGGTTATCTCTCGCATCGACTATTGCAATGCCCTCCTAGCAGGTCTTCTAGCTTGTGCGGTGAAACCCTTACAAATGGTTCAGAACGCAGCATCGCGTCTGGTTTTTGATCAGCCCAAAAGGACTCATGTCACTCCATTACTCAGTGACCTCCACTGGCTCCAGAATCAAATTCAAGTCACTAATGCTGCATACAGAGTGACTACTGGGTCTGCAGCCATCTACCTAAACTCCATAATACAAACTTACGTTCCTTCTCGGCCACTACGCTCCTCCAACGAACGCCGACTGGGTCTGCCATCCCTTCACACAAAGCAAGCATCTGTGACACCACGATGGTGGAACGAGCTACCACACGACATCAGAGCAGGGGCGTCCCTCTCTAACTTCAAGAAGCTCTTGAAAACTCATCTCTTCCGAGAATACTTCCTCTTATAACACCTTTAACTCCTAACCTCTAACATGCACTTCCTGTGCTCTTCTTCTTCTATCCCCTACAATGATCTTGTATTGATTGCACTTTTTGTTTTGATTGCACTTTTTGTTAACTCTTACTTCCTTCCCTAGGTATCTATCCCATTGATGTGATATGGATTGTGAGCTCTTACTAGTATTTATTGCTGCTCTTACTAGTATGTAAGTCGCTTTGGATAAAAGCGTCTGCCAAATGAGTAAATATAAATGTAAATGTAAAAAATAAATCCTGTTTTATTGTGACGTTATGGGATGAATTTCATCAATAAATATATTGTCTATCTTCCTGCAGACATCGACTCTGAACGAGGAGGAGAAGCTGAGGAGGAAGCTGAGTGAGCTGGCGGGGAACCTGAGTGATAAGGGCCTGTCGTCAGACGATGAGGCCGGGAAGAAGTCCTTCTCTGTGGGTAAAAGTCCGGCTGTCTTCAGGGGTGGCCCGGTGGTCCCTCTAGACTCTGTGAAGGACAAAGAACTGAGCTCATCCAGCGACGAAATGCCCACTGAGGCCCAGAAGGTAGGAAGGAGTCAGGACGGATAATCTGACCCAGCTTACTGTATGTACGGGCTCAAAATCAAAACCAAATGGGAACCTGGAAGTTTCCGAAACAACTAAAATGTTTCTGACCTTAACGGGGTGGTGATGGCGCATAGATAAGATGCTTGCCTTTGGTGTGGGAGACCTGGATTCGATTCCCACTGTAAGACATCCACCATTGTGTCCCTGAGCAAGATACTGAACCCCTCGTTGCTCCAGAGGCGTGTGACCTCTGACATGTAGCAATTGTAAGTTGCTTTGGATAAAAGTGTCAGCTAAATGAATAAATGACCTCATAGCAGAATACAACCTTAATTCACACCTCTGTGTCACACAGGTTTCTCTGTTGTTTTATAAATGTCCAGGATCTCATTTGTGATGAATGCCGTGAAAAAGCACAGCATGGCTCAACTTATTCCCCAGGAAAGTGTCTGAACAGATAAAAGAACTATACATTTAGAATAGGCTTTTTAAGCTTTAGTCATTGGAAGCACATTGTATTCTCCAGAGAAACATCATCAAATCATTATCATGACTTAGTATAGACTAATTACAAGAATTAAAGATTTGTATTGATAGTTAACATGGGTTGGTGATAGCGCAGTGGATAAGACTCATGCCTTTGGTGTTAGACCTGAGTTCGAATCCACTGTGCGACACCAATGTGTCCCTGAGCAAGACACTCTACCCCTAGTTCCTCCAGAAGTGTACAACCTCTGACATGTATAGCAATTGTAAGTCGCTTTGGATAAATGAATAAATGTAAACATTTCAGTGACTGAAATGGATGAAGGATGTTTTAAGGCCCCTAGCGCCCTCTACCAGATATTTTGATAACTTTGGTATTTAACCCCATATTTCAATTTGACTGTTATTTTTGATAGATATGTGAGTGTTACACATATTAAGATTCCCTGTAGGCAACAGTCAACAGTCACACTGCATGACTGCCTCCTCACTAACCGGCTGCCTCCTGTGTGAGTTAACAACCTTCAAAAGTCTTCGCTGCTTGTACAGCAGGTTGTTTAAATATGAAGGTCAGCAGCTACCTGCCTGGAACACCCGGAAACCACAGAGATCAGGCATATATCACAGAGTCCTTCTTCAGTGGTGTTTACCTAAGTAATGGAATAAACAAGGCAAAGAAACTCCAGGGGCCATATTACAGAAAGTTCCTATCTTAAGTCTTAAGGTAAGATAGGAAAGGTCTAAGATAGGATTTTCTCCAATGTGGTATTACAGAAGCAAATCCTAACTAAGTTTAGGAATCCTATCTTATCTCAGGTTAGGAAATCCTAAATACTCAATCCAACATCAGTTATCAACTTTACATGTTTGTTACCTAGCAACCAATGCCACTTTTCTCATCTCACTGAGCTAAACGGTATTTTAATTGCTGTTTTTTGGTCATTTTTTTAATGAAACATACAGGTGTTAATAACCTCCATCGAGATATCCAAATTCATGTAACGCTTATCTCAGGAGATTAAAGATTGAGATTGAGCTAAAATAGCGGACACAGTCACCGCCACATATCTGGCATCCAGCGGAGCGTTGTTAACAAGTGATACGAAGAGAAAGGCAACTCCAAAGAGTGGTGTTTTCCTCCTGTGCTCCTTCACTGACAGTGGCAGAAACCCATACTCTTCTCGGGAAAGCTAATAATGAAGGTAAAAAAAGATGGCTAACATCATCATGTTTTTCATGTATTTCTTGAATTAATTAATTAATTCAATTAATTAACAAGTTACACCTGTTGATATTTGTTGATTTTGTAAAAGCAATAAAAGAGCACCCATGTGGATTAAACAACTTAGCAACACTACCTGGTGGAAAAGTAAAAGTTAGGACAGCTTAACAGTTATCCTAAAATTAGGAGAGTTTAATGAAGATTCTACAAAGTTAGGATAGTTCTGTAATACACTTTCCCTATCTTAAGTTAGGAAAGGAACATTGATTTAGGAACTGTTAATCTGCAATGGCCTTATTCCTATATCAGTTCCTAACCCTTAATACCATGGTTACCAAGCAGTTATGATTGGATCTGCCGGTTAAGAAGTTTCTGTAGTACGGCCCCAGGACCATATAGGACCAAGATTTGAATATCTTGTTTGCTTCAGTTACTATCTTTTTCAAGCAAGATAGATCTAATGTTTGTTATTGTAAGATGGATCTAGTTTCTTGTTCTGTATGAGGGATTTAATATCTTGTTCTTGTTAGATGGATCTAGTTACTTGTTCTTGTAAGGTCGATCTAATATGTGTTCCTGTATGATTTGTTCTGTACAATGGATCTGACGTCTTGTTCTTGTAGATAGATATATAAGATGGATCTAGGATCTTGTTCTGTTAGATGGATCTAATATCTTGTTTTTGTAAGATGGTTCTGATATCTTGTTCTGTGAGATGGATCTTTAATATGTTTTCTAAGATAGAACTATCTAACTACTTTTTTTGTAAGATATCTTGCTCTGTATGATGGATATAATATCTTGTTTTGGTAAAATGGATCTAATATCTTGTTCTTTTAAGATGGATCTTTAATCTTGTTCTGTACAATAGATCTAATGTCTTATTCCTGTAAGAGGATCTAGTATCTTGTTCTGGTAAGATGGATCTAATGTCTTGTTTGTATGATGGATCTAGTATCTTGTTCTGGTAAGATGGATCTAATATCTTGTTGTATGATGGATCTTGTATCTTTTTCTTGCAAGATGGATCTAATATCTTGTTCTTGTAAGATAGAATTACTATCTTGTTTTTGTAAGATGGATCTAATGTCTTATTCTTGTAAGATGGATCTAGTATCCTTTCTTGTAAGATGGATCTAATATGTTTGTAAGATGGATCTAATATCTTGTTTTTGTAAGATGGATCTAAAATCTGTTTCTAGTAGATAGATCTAAGATCTTGCTCTTGAAAGATTGATCTTTAATCTTGTTTTTGTAAGATCTATGTAATATGTTATTCATGTAAGATGGATCTAGTATCTTATTCTTTTTAGATGAATATCCTGTTTTTGTTTGGTGGATCTAATATGTTGTTCCTGTACGATAGATCTAATATCTTGTTCTTGTAAGATGGATCTAGTATTTGTTCTTGTAAGATGGATCTAGAATCTTGTTCTTGTAGATATTTCTAATATCTTGCTTGTATGATGAATCTAATGTGTTGTTCTTGGAAGATGGATCTATATCTTGCTCTTGTAAGACGGATCTAATCTTGTTTTTGTAAGATGGATCAAATATGTTGTTTTTGTAGTAGATCTAATATTTTATTCATGTAGGTGGGTCTAGCATCTTGTTCTTTGAGATGTAATATCTTGTTTTTGTTTGGTGGATCTAATATCTTGTTCTTGTAAGGTGGATGTAATTTGTTGTTCCTGCACGATAGATCCAATATTTTGTTCTTGTAAGATGGATCTAGTATCTTGTTCGTGTAAGATGGAACTAATATCTAGTTTTTGTAAGATAGAACTAGTATCTTGTTTTTGTAAGATAGATTTAATATTTGTTCTTGTAAGATGGATCTAGTATCTTTCTTCTAAGATGGATCTAGTATCTCTTTCCTCTAAGATGGATCTAATAGCTTGTTTTGTAAAATGGATCTAATATCTTGTTCTTGTAAGATGGAGCCAACATCTTGCTCTTGTAAGATGGATCTATTATCTTGTTCTTGTAAGATGGATCTAATATCTTGTTCTTGTAGATAGTTCTAATATCCTTCTCTTGTATGATGGATCTAATGTCTTGCTCTTGTAAGATGGATCTAATATCGTTTTTGTAAGATGGATCTAATATCGTTTTGTAATATGGCTCTTATATCTTGTTTTTGTAAATGGACTAATATCTTGGTCTTGTAGATAGATCTAATATTGTTCTTGTAAGATCGATCTAATCTTGTTTTGTAAGATGGATCTATTATTTTATTCTGTAAGATGGATCTAGCATCTTGTT